TCATACCGAAAAAGACTCAAGACTGTAATTGCTGCCAAAGGTGCTTCAACAAAGTACTGAGTAAAGGGTCTGAATACTTATGCCAATGTGATATTTCAGTTTTTCCTTTTTAATAAATGTACAGACTTTTCTACAATTTTGTTTTCACTTTGTCATTATGGGGTACTGAGTGTAGATTAATGAGGAAAAAAATGAATTTGAACGATTGTAGTATCAGGCTGCAACATAACAAAACTGAAAAAAGTGAAGGGGGTCTGAATACTTTCCGAATGCACTGTAAATCAGGCAAAGAAGAGCTAAGTTGAAATCCTTGAGGCAAGGAGTGGAATTGGTCTTCTCTATAAAATGTGTGCATGCAAAACCATGTCTAAACCAGAAAGTAAAGTAAGCTAAGAAATGCCTATATGTATGTATATGTATATATTCTTTGCTTGTAGGGGATTGGGAGGAGGGGATGTAACGCTGATATCAGGCTCAGAGAGATAATGATGGAGCACTATGTACGTATGCGGGTGTGATGTTTATAAGTGTGTGAGGTGATACCTGATGTTTATTTGCATCCACAGCTGTTTGTTCCTCATTACATTCTTCTGGTCTTCTCTCCACAGTTTGCTGGTTGGTGCACCTCGACAAAAGGCTTTCCCAATGCAGCGAGCCAACAGAACTGGAGGGTTGTTCAGCTGCGACATTGAAACTCCAGATCTACCATGCACACGCATTGAATTTGATGAGACAGGTGAGCTAGCTAAAAAACAACTAGATCTTTGGAGTTGTTTTTTTTTTTGGCTAGGCGAAGTACAAATATTTATTTAGTAACCTATTGGAGGAATCCAATTTGGCAGTTTTAATTTATGTGTTTTTTTTTTAATTACAGCTTTTAAAGGTGGATACAATCCCCTGTTTGGTTTTGCAGCTTCCATTAATTTTTTTACATGGTTTTTGCATATAGGCAATTTGAGCAAGTTTTGCTCTTTCAAAAACTACATGTATGTAGTTCAAGCATGATTAGAGGAGTCCGTTTCATAGATGCTTCAAAAAAACATACAGTTCCATCAAAAATTATGCCCTGCACACACACACACACACACACACACACATGTGTGTGTGTGTGTGTTTGTATATATATATATATATGTGTGTGTGTGTGTGATGTCAGTTCCCTGACTGGCAGTTGTTATGTGGCAAAACAGCATATGCTGTAGGTATGTAACAACAGAGTCAAAGAATTTCTGAGTTTACTAGACTTAACAGAGTCCCAAGAGCAGAATGAGAAATGAGCATATTCAATGAACATTGAATCCTCATTGATTGTGGTGGTGGGATGGGAGAGATACCTTACAAACAGGAAGAGGAATGGAATGAAGAAGATGGAATCTGAGCAAAGAACACTTCATACTTTACTATTTTGTTATACGTCTCATTACATGTCTCATATTATAATGATATCCCCATACTAAATGCAGTGTTGATCAGTGAAAACTTTGTACTGATACTGTAGACAAACAGTGCCATCTAAAGACTATTTCAGGTATAAATGATATTATTCAGTGAATTCATAGTTAAAATAATAATCTGCATGTAACTATACAGATATTATTTTAAAAGAAGTGGATGAAACTTATTTTGCAATGATTTTTTAGCTGATCTGGCAAAAGAAAGCAAAGAAGATCAGTGGATGGGTGTAACTGTCCGAAGTCAGGGTCCTGGTGGAAAAGTTGTGGTAAGTTTTCAGGAGGTTCTCTGAGCCTCAGCATTGTTGGGTTTTTTGACATTTGGGTAAATCACGATTGAAGTCTTTAGGATTACTTTGAATTTACTGGTACAGGTAGTCCTTGCTTAATGACCCTAATTGGGACCAGCAACTCCATCACTAAGTGAAGTCATTAAGCAAAATATCATGTGACTTTGCCAACTTATGGTGGCAGTTCCAGCAGTCCCAGTTGCAGTTGTTAAGCAAGACATCATGACTTGTGAACTCCTGCCGACTTCCCCATTGACTGAGGAAGCCAGCTGGGAAGGTCACAAATGATGATCATGTGACCGCAGGATGCTGTGACCAGCATAAATGCACGACAGTTGCCAAGCACCTGAATTGCAATCACGTGACCGCAGGGATGCTGCATCGGTCACACATGTGTGGACTGGTTGTAAGTCACTTTTTTCAATGCCGTTGTAACTTTGAACAGTTGCTGAATGAATGGTCATTAAGTGAGAACTATGTGTAGTCCTCATTTAGTGACTGCCTCATACAGCAACCGTTCACAATTACAACGGTGATGAAAAAGTAACTGTGAGTAATCCTCACATTTACGACCTTCACAGGTCTGTAAAGCAAAGGAAAGCTGAAGTAAGATTATAAGCACAGTTGTAGTTTCACTTAGTGACTGCTTTGTTTAATGAACAAGTTGCTGGTCCCAGTTGTGGTTGTATAGGAGGATTACCTGTACTATTTTAGTGACAGAGATGGGCAACCTACAGACGACAAGGAGATATATTCCCAAAATCTTTTTTTCTCTTTTTTTTATAGCTCCCAAAAATGGGTCTGCTAAATCAATGTTTCTCAGCCTTGGAAACTAAGATGTGTGGACTTTGACTCCAGAATTCCCCAGCCAGAATTCTGGGAGTCATCTACACATCTTAAAGTTGCTGAGGTTGAGAAACACTGTGCTAAAGGTTGGCACCCAGCTATGAAGCAACACAGGAATGATTTCCCACAGTTTTTAAGGGGAAAACAACTGAAAGTAGATATTTGAAGGTTCAACCCATCAAAAATCTGTAGTCCTCTCAGTGTCTTGACTCCCCATTTTCGTAACATCAGCATGAAACCCTATCCCACCACCGCCCTCAAAAACAGAGGAAAACAGGGATAGTTCTGGCCTCCAGACAATTGTTTGATCATTGTTACTTCTAGAATTGAAGTGGTGCTGTTTTGCTGTTGGGTTTTCTTTGTAATTTTTTTTTTTTTTGTCTGCACTCAGTCATTACTGACCCTGCAGTGACTGCTTGGAT